CACAGGAAAGTGGAAACAAAGGGGACAGCCGAGGCGATGCGTATTATCCAGCTCTGGGATTCAATCATGCTTGACTGAAACAGTATGAATACACCTTGGGAAGGAGGATCTTTAACAGAAATGAAGAAGCTCTCACTTGCTGTTGTAGCTTATTGTGTATTGGCATAATTATGGATATTATGTGTTGTGTTGGTTTAACTCCGGTGATGGAGCATGCATAATCATAAGGTGGGTGGAAAGCAGCGGTAATGATAAGTTACTCTAAAATGAAAATGACATGCATATCGATCACTGCAAAAACATACGTGTAGTTTCAGTCCATTTTGTTGATTTACTGTACCTTTGTAATGACAGGAAAGGCTTATTTATTACAGAGCGTGACTGGGATTTAGACATGGTAATAAAGCACAAGAGTTGTACAAATGGGAAAATAAATCAAGCATCAAACAATTCCATGTCTAATGCTTTGAAGTGACAGGCGTCGATCAATATCGGACTTTCAGGCTTGTTTCTAAACTGTATATTCGAACTGATATCAAAATAGGTGCCCGGATTGAATTAACAAGCATCATTCAAACACATGTAATCAATAAATATTTACTTATGACTGCCATTTCCTTTTATTTTCCACACTAGCCCTGAGCTATGAGCACACTCTGGTATAATCAAATCTGATATTTACTCTCCTCTATGTTCCCATCTTAACCTCTTAATCTGAAGATTTCTTGCGCTCAGTGAGGACTCCAATATTCCACGGCAAACATGGCCCCAAATGATGGAGGGCTTTCAGACTGGAGCCATTCATTCCCCATAGTCAAAAATCATTAATGCTACAGATAATTGCATTGAAGAGCTGAGCTCGCAGCAGCTGCTGCCATCTATTGAAGGGCAGCTTAGCCAAACATAATTAAAAGAGTTGAGATCGAGTGCATTATGCCCAATTAAAAGCCAATTGCACTTAATAACAACGTTATCTGGCCCTATTGACCAGCAGGGTTTTGCTCTAATTTCATCCTCGGTGAGTCCTTGGATAATTGACTTTGAGATATTCTAAAGTGTGCCGTTTCTTTATTCTTTGCCACCAAAGCAAGTTCCCAAAACTTCGGTTCACTGGGTTAAATGAGCGAACGCTTGACCCCTTCGCTCTTCCTTTGACTCTGTGGAGTTCTGAGTAAGGGAGGACTGAATAGAGCAGTGCAACAGTAACATGAACACTCTTGATCTTACAAACTCTCAGTTATGTATGGGAAAAACTTCTTCACTTTTAAGTTTACTTGTTATGGTCAAATGTAATTAGGGCTCTTTTGCCTCAGCGACAAACAGCTTTGGCTTCATCTACAGCTACAACACTAACAAGAACAAGTTTTTTTTTAAAAAAGAATTTAATGCACAACAACCAATAGTGAAGGATTACTATATCCTTGATTACTATACTATTTCATATTTGTATGATGTTTTATAGGTGACATGCTGATATTTTTACCTGCTATTTTGCTATAAGGGCTTATAACCGTGGTGCTATTTGTGAGACTTGCTGTTGGTAATTTAATAAATAAGAAGTGCATGCTTGGAGACGAATGCCTTCAAAATGATCAGGTTTGTTATGTTTTTCTCGCGATGTTTAGTTATAACTAGCTTGATGGTTCCCTTGAAGTTTTCCACTAAGAAGATAAGGTAACCTTAATGCTAACCTTCTGAATAAACCAAATTAGCCTAAACTAAACTATCCACATGTGCAATATCCAAATAAATTGAGCTAACATTAATCACTTCTGATCATATCAAACCAAATAATGGTGCTATTTGTTGGTTGTGCTTTAAATTTAAAATAGAAGTAGACATAGGTAAACGTGCATGGAGGTGGAACCAAAAATGAAGGTTACTTATTGACAAAAGCCCTAAAATATTACTGTCATGTATAAGTATATTTAATATGCCAGTCCAGTTTTATAAAGCAATTTTCAGACACACCAGTAATTTGTAAGGTCACTTGTTATATATGCAAAACAAGAAGTGTGTCAATTCAAACTTATTTTACATTGTGAGCCACATTTTGGCTACTTTCATCTTAAGCGGGCCAGACCAGTGACACTACATAATAAAAGTTCTGGTAGTTCATTGTTCACTGTGTCCCATAATTATAAAATATAAAGTTTACAGTCAATAAGTGAAAATTGTCTTTTTTTCTCTATGAACCCACTGCAAAAAACATCCATACTGTCCAATTAGCTGGACTGGTGTGTTTGCTGGGCTGCATCTGTCCCCGGGCCTTATGTTTAACCCCCTGGTCTAAGTCCTACAACACCCCTGACATTCTCATTGAAAGCAAATTGCTGTCCTTTTTTTCTGAATCTTCTAAGGACCAAATATTTTATCTTTACTGTAATATGCCCATTAAAAAAACATCTGCAAAAGATAAATGGATTTACCGTACATTGATTTAAATACTTGGTCAAATACCACAGCAGCTGGTCTCTTACTTAGACCTGAGAGTACTAGAGGGGAGCGGTTTACTGCATGATAATAATGTAGCCTGAGTGGAAAAACCAATGGCAGTCTCTCCTCCACCACTAATGTTGCGGCAAAATGCCAAATGCAAAAATGTTCACAATGGTGATGGATTTTTTAGCACAGTCTATGCTAAGAAAAGTCCTTGAAGGGGAAAAAGCATTATTTGCCCAGGAGCAATACAAAGTGCTATTAGGAGTCAAGGCTGCATTAATAAATTATGCTTTGTTTTGATGTAATGTAAATGATGTAAGGAGAGATGAAATGTTGTCGGTTTTAGGGGTGTGGAAGAAGTCATTCTGCTCTGGATGGCTTTGACAAGGGAAAGAAATGAACATACCTATGAGGCACTGTTCAACGTGACCTGGTTGTCATGCGTTTAGAGAACGAGAGTTAGACAGTCAAAATATAGATATAAAAGTTTCAGATTTCCTCAGATTTTGGGAATACCTGCAGTCCAATGGGTCCGGGTAAACCTGGGAATCCTCTTGGTCCTTCATCTCCTTTCTGACCAAACATACCCTGCTGTCCTCTCGGTCCAGCTTCACCATCACTGCCCTGTTAGAGGTTAAAGTGCAAGACATGCAAACACCTTTACTCTCACTCCCACTGACCAAGTGCAATTCTACAATCATTAACTGGGATTTTTTTCTCATTCTTCTAATCAATTTCATGGTTACAGAGTATATCCAAGCTCAGACGGGAGATGGTGGGTCGATACGCACATTCAATCACAGATTAGGATGGACAGTTACAGTACTTGAATGGTTTTTTGAAGGACATTTTACTGCAGTTTTATCAATCCATCAATGCTGAGAACCAACATATTGTTCCCCAGGGTTCTTGGAGTGATTAGAATGCACCCATGACAGGTCAACGGTCTATCTCACTTCACTCACAGACTATTTAAAATGCACAGTCAACCAACATGTGGAAGTTTGATTGTTTGGTTTTTCAGAGGACTGTGTGAGGAGGAAAATTAAACTTGCGACAGGAATGGACCAGAGAGAGACAACAGTTCTAAACACTGATACATTGTGCTGCTCGTCTACCAGGGGAGCAGCCATCCTACCAAAGCTTCTCATCAGGGAATGCAGGATGGAGTACAGTATAGCCAAAGGGTTATGGTAAACAGCGTATGTGAAAGATGCTGACTTCATCTCTGAAGCCAGAGGTGCACAGAGCTACGGAGGATGGAAATAAGAGACTGTGGGGAAAGAGTGAAGTGCTGACAGACTGGGAGTTTTCAGTTCAAACGCATGTCAGCACTTGAAAGTGCTTGAGGAGCTCTTACTGAGCCCTGGGACATGTAGGACGCTTCAGGCTATGGTACTGAATGCAGAACAGTTTAGAAGGAAATATTAGGTGATTACAAGGAGGTGGACTAAAGTTAAAGTGACTTCAAGAAAAAAAAAAGTCACAAATCTAACTGTTTGAACATCTCCTTGGGGAGACTAGAAAAGAATTGTGTCTCTATGTCGAGTGCTTGACCTCAACTGCTACATAATTTGTTATTCATTGTAACACTGCATGCACAGCCTGCAACCTCCGTATATGTGTTGGCACCATCCGTGCCCTTGAATCAGAGCAATAGAGGCTTTTGCTGGAAGAAACTATCCGGACCTGCCAAAACAGATAGAAAACGCAATAACAGCTCACCATCTAAGTATGAAGCTTACTTCTTGTGTCACGTGAAAACAGTCCAACACTGGTGAATTTCTTATGTCAATTCATCATAAGCAATGAAACAAATGGCAATTTTTGGGTACAATTGTACTTAATACAAGTATAAAAACAAGTATAAACCTTTACTGAATACTATATTATGTTGAAACTCTCCACTTTTCCTTCCAGTTAAACAGAAAAACTGGGCTGTAAAAATAAAAAAGGTCTGCAGAGACACTTTAAGTACTGTCCATCTTTTACCTTGGATTGACCTTCATCTAGTCTTAATTAATTAGTATATAAATAAAGTTTTATTTGAAGTGTAATTTATGAAAAGAAATGCAAAAGCTAACTATGAACTGTAACAGTATGTTTAGCATAACTTACATACTGCTCTCTGCTCTCTGAATTAAAGATCTCAGTCAGAAACAACTTGAAATTTTCAGTTCACACTGAAGTCCTAATTAGAAAAATGCTTTGGTAGGACTTTAATCAGCACAAGTCGGTGCATAATTACGTGCTCTAAAACTGCTAGCTGAGAGCATTTATATTTTTAAGACTCCGTACTAATTTTTGCATGGATCTGTTTAAATGTAAAAAGTGTAGCTGGTGCAATTGAATGAGATATGATTCAGCATACACTCTAAAAAATATTCGTTGTGTTTGTCGGTAGAACTTAACAAAAAAGCATTTTTCTGCTAAAAAAAGTAAGTTGCCTACATGTACACGTTTTAGTGAGTTGAATAATCAATGTTAGAAGTCAGTGCAACACAAAAATTAAAAAACAGCTCCTTAACTTAAATGTTTGAGTATATTGAATAAAATACTTTTGTCATCAATCAACAACAGAAAATATTAAGTTTGTGTAACATGTAAAAATGAGTTTCAACATCCTTCCTGTTTGAATTGAGACCATTCAGACAGACAAGGGCAACCCCGTAGCATATGTTCGTATCGTGCGCAACAGTTTCTGGATTCTTGTGGCTTCGTGGGAGAAGAGGTGTGTTTGCCCTCGACTGTGTTCGGTGAGTTAAGTAAGTACTGAATTCTAAATAGATGAATTACAAGTTATATTTGTACACTCTAAAATGTCATATTTAAAAAAAACTGAAATTTGATGGTTTTAATCGTAATTTAGCAGAGTATAGTTGTTGTTGTTTTTTTAAGTTTAGCTAGCCGTTTCTTTTAGCTAGCAAACGTTCCTCACAAATAAAAGAGTACAGATACAATTAAAACATGTCACTTGTCAGGGTACATTTGGTTAGCTGATAGACTATGCCGACAGCAGAGCATGTTCAATTTGAACCCGTATATGTTCAAATTAACCGGTCAGTAGCTGCCTGCATTTTTATCATGGTGTCAGAGTAAATTCGTGTTTCCACAAGATGGTCTCGGGTGAGGTAACTAATTACTGACAGAGTAAAATGTGGTGAATTTATCCCTGACTAAAAGTATTTCTATCAATTGTGTTGATGTTCTAAGCTCGACTGGGAATTCTGCCTGAGATTAAAGTTGGTTGACCTAGCAAAAAAAACCCAAAAAACAATATTTATTGTGTGTGTGTGTGTGTGTGTGCATACAACTTGCATTTGCTTTCTGTAATTGTAAGCATAATGTAAAGTGTGGGATTGTGGCATGTCCACAGTGGTATTTAAATAGTTTAAAAGAAATTTCTCTTGCACATTTGGATTTGACACCTTATTACAAGTTTAAACTGCAGTCTGTAGATGTCAATTTTAAAATTCAATTTTGTTCAGTCTTTATGATTAATCTTTTTCAGTATTGCATTGTAGTGTTTTAGAGAAGGTTTTATACTTAAAATAGCTTGTTAACTCAAAAGCTTCAATAATTCTTTGCATTACAAAAGGTTGCAGTAAATTTCAAAATGCATTGGACTTGCAAAATTTGCAAGTTTGAAACATCAAGAAGGAATGAGCTCTTAAAGCATTACAGGCTTAAACATAGCCATGGTGGACTGTTTATGCCTTGCCTGTACTGGGATTGTAACTGCTCATTTGAACATATGCTTCTCATAGGAACCGAAAACACACTCCTCACTCATTGGATGACTTCAAGTCTGAGCTGATACAGCGGTGTGTCAGTCGTTTGAATGCAGGAGATGATCCTCTTGAGGAACATAATGAAAATCCATTGTGTGAAGATGTAGCAAATGAAGAGGATGAAGAAATTGGGGAATTGCCTAATTTAATTGAGAAACATTTAGCCCACCTACTACTAAAACTGGAAAGTATATATAATGTACCTCGCAGGTGTATTGATGAATTAGTTGTTACAGTTACAGTTATAGTTCATGTCATTCTCTGATTCAGGTCCTATTCATCAAAAGCACAATTGTGCTGTTGATGAAATTTAGGTTACATTTACTTTTAGTCACTTTATCCTATTGCTAGGCCAGTGTGTAACAGTTTAAATTGAAGTTACAAAGATTAAATCTTTATTTCTTTTAAAAACATATTTAAAATCAATATTTGGCACAATGCAAGTCACATAAATGTAATAGTTTTGACTTTTCACCTAATAAACTGTAAGTTTAAGTTTTGTTTTGCTTTTTTTATTCTCCAGAGTTCGGTGGAAATGAAGAGAGAGGTCGCAATCCGTTGCCTGAAGGTGTATCTGAAAGAGAAGGAAGAGGATCTCTTCAGAGAACAGCTGGTAGGTGAATCTCGCATTCTTTTGTGTTTTATTTTTAAATGGCACATAAAGTGCTGACATGTTTCCATTTAAACTACCTACTTGCCAGGATGGTGAACAACAGTTCCCAGAAGAAGTGGTAAAGATTGTAGTCACCAGACGTGCAGCAGTGTCTCTCAAAGCTGTCGCTAAAATTGTGATTGAAGGAACAGCAGTCCTGGAAGACCTTGATGTGCCCAGAGTGTGTGCCTTAATGATGGGGCTTATATACACTCTCAATCTGAGCTACCCAAAACAAGTAAAGAACACTAGAGGTATTTCTGGAACTTGATGGGCTTAAACCAGTCCACGGGTAATGTCTGTTAAGTGCAAACTTCTGTCATGAAAAGAATGTGAATTGGACTGTAGTATTCCGATGTGCCTCTTACGTTTTTGTATGCAGTCCCAGATGAGTGTAGTTTTGAGAAAAGTTTGTAATACATATAATCTTAGCTTTGGATTGTTCTGTTGTTGAACATTAAAATCTTTTGTCATTTCCTTGATTCTGCGACAAGTTGAACAAGTTGATACCAATTTATGTTAATGTTAATGTACATGAAGTACTTTTTTTTTTAGTCATTTATAATTAAAGGGCTGCTGTAATGTTTCATTTATGTTGTATTGACACAGAAGTGTATTACTTTGAAAATGTTTTGTAATAAAATAATCAATTGGAATAAGTGAAATGGCTTTGTGTGATTTTTAGAAAAGCTACTATAGAAACCTAAACTAATTGGCATGGATAATTGTGAGTAGGATATATGTAAAAAAGTTCGTTGGTGTAACTCAACTAATGTAATTTCTCAACTTAATTTTACCAGAAATTTTAAATTAATATTAGGTTGAATAAACTTAATTATGCTTGTGGAGGTCAAGGTAAATCATGTTGGTTTGTTAAACAAGTTGAGTTAGCCAAACCTAAAAATTACTTGCTGAATTTACTTAATAATATGCAAAATTTGTAACTTAAAAAGCTGAGTGGAAATTGTTACCTTACTTTTTTAAGTTGAGGCAACAAAATATTTTTTAGAGTGTAGTTACTTGTGGTTGTGCTTAGATCTGCAGGCACCAAACGCATGCTCGGGGAGGTGTAATTTATGACATACCTGAAATGGATCTCGCAAAATTTATGTTTAGATTGTTCATGAAATAAATCTAAGTGGCTCTTGTGGGGTTTTTGTTTTCCTTACATTATGTTAGAAATAAGCTTTTTCATATCTTAAAAATGTGTTGTCCTCTCAAAAGTGACATTTCCAAGATTGCTCTTGTCAACTTCATTTTTTTGTCTTCTTATAAGCCGCTGCTAAACAAGAGCACATTTGTAGGACAGGATGTTCACCACATCCTGATGAAGATCAATACTGCTTTGCCATAGACTGTTTCATTACGAATGCTTGACCTCAGTTGCATCTTGAAGACAACAGCACCAGTGACTGAGCTGCTGTAAATCTTGTTAAGCCTTAGCAGAGAAGGAAATTGGATCGTTCATTTTGCCAGCATACACAAGCATTTTTCCAGGATTGAAAAGTGGGGTACATAGTGTAGCCACAAGTGATAACAGCATTCAGACATGCAATAATAAAAACAGAGCAGACGATGTTAAAACTACACAGCACGAGTCAGGACTCAGTTATGAAGATATGAATACACATGAGCAGACTGACTCACCAGGACAAACAACTGTTAAATAATTTGTTATGCAGCTCGGGAGCACTACCTGCTCACGGCAATCCGTCTCACTAGGTCTATTCTAGCCCCCACAGAGCCCTGCAGATGCTGGATTTGTGCTAGAATGGTTGTTAAGGCCTGATAATTTACAGCAATGAGCTGTTAGTTGCCCTCGGGCCATCAGCTATTGTAGAAACAGGACTTTCCCTGTTGTGTTAATGAGATGGAAGAGTAGAGGATGTTCTGCACCGTACAAGGCAGTATTCTCAGCTAGGTCTGGTGCCATAGAACTCAATATAAGGAAATGACTGGTGCACTGACTGGCACATTATTGCTGTGTGCAAGCCTGTTTTGTAAACGCAAGGTCACAAGCGTAATGCTTTGCATGAGTTTCCAGGATAACAAATACCAAATTTGTAATTGCATTTTAATTGATGGGGGATAAAAGCTGTCTTTTATGAAAAAGTCTTTTTGGTACCCCGATTCTAATACAGGACTAAAAGTTGTAATTAAAAGGAAATTTGTGCAGCATTACAATGATAAAAGGATGGGGAATATTAAAATGAACAGGGACTGCAGCCAAAGGTTTTTGGACTGCAGAGGCAAGAGTAAAAAAAAATAATAGTGCTTGCATAATATGGCCCTGACCTGCCTGAACAGTTGTTAATTTCTGTCCATCTGGGAAATGAAATATTGTTTATTAAACCAAGGGTCTCCAAGCAAGCACAATTATGACTCAAGTGTCCAGTTTTTAAATATATCTAAACACTTAAACAACCCATTTAACTGATTATCATACAATCGGCAAAAAATGGTTAAGCAAAAACCTGCATAGAGTAACTTTTGCTCATATCAGAGTGTTGCTGATGATGAATCAATAAAAAGGTGTCGTCCTTCAAAACGAGACACGATTCAATGGCACGTCATTATTGGACTGCAGGTCTGGAGATAACAAGTTTCAGCCGGCAGCCTTTTGGTCTTATTACACCCTCCCTGTCTTCATGGGGGCTTGTTTTGAAAAAAAATGTTTTTAAAATCTGATTTCCCATTTCACCGTTCTTACCCAGAAGCCAGTATGGTAATGAAGAGATGACATTAAGAAGACAGCACTTACTTCTGTAGGCATCACAAATGATGGTAAGAAAGTCTTTAAAAATTCACGAAAGGTGAAATAAAGGTTGGAAAGTTTTGTGAAAACAGAAAGCAATATTCGGAGTGGATTTTAGTACAGTATAAATGGGTATTCGTGTAACTTTTAATGTTTTAGGATTACATTCTTATCGGTGTATGAAAATACTTCAGAGAATAAACTTTGACATTAGATGGTCAGAGGATGAGATACTCACAGCTGGACCAGGAGCTCCAACTACACCCTGGAGACCAGTTGGGCCTGGTGGACCCTACAAACAGGAGGAAGCTGATTATTAAGATGTACATGATAGACACGCCATCTGAATCGAGCAATGAAATATAGGGCAGTTGCCTGCTAAACCTGATCTCCATCACACACTGTCTACCTGGAATAATGACATTTGAAAAATCTAATTCAATCTGGAATGTATTTGACGTGATGCGTGTGAGGACAAACAAAAGTCAACTGAAAAAATACAAGCGTTTAAGATGAGGACAGAACACGCTGCAATTCTTATTACAAACTAAGTAACCATTTTGTAAACATAGCAGCACTTCAGCTAGTATTTTATATGCTGCAGACTTTTTAGGGCAAAATAAGAAACATTTTCTAGCAATCTATTCCTTTTGTTCTACTCAATTCAGTGGTGAAATCAGCATCTTTGGTTATTTAACATGAATTGTAATAAAACTCACTGATTTGAATGAATCTGTGACATAAAACTTCATTAAAAGAGAGCGAGAGGGAAAGAAAAAGACTCACAAGTTCACCCTTGTCTCCTTTACTTCCTTTCTGTCCAGGTCCACCAACTTCTCCCTGCAGTGTAACAAGCACATACAGACAAAGCAGAGCTCAAATCTCTCTCCTCCATGTTTAGTCAAAGTCTAATATCTTAAAGTGTCACCTTTACCATGATTAGGCAGTAAATATTTCTCAAGAGAATCTAATTTGATTGGCCCACAAAGACCTTGGGTGAGTGTTTGTAATTAATTGATTGGCTCCCTGTCTAACCCCATTGGCTCTATGATTGACAAAATGCTGTGGCAGAAGACGTGACTGGGATTGAAGAGGGTGTCATGGTTACAAATGTAAAAATGCAAATTTCTGGTTCAGTGTATCAAGTGTGGATGTGGGATTTGCTGGCCTCAGGGTACACAGGATGTGTAAACAACTGGCTATTTTAGTACATGGATTTGTTTGTCTATTTGCATTTAAGAAGATTTCTAAAGCCGTTAGTGTGTGCTTATTTTGTTTACTTAATGTAAGATTCTATCGGGAGTAATTGCTGTCATAACAAGCTTGTGGTTAAGTATAGTTAAAAAAAATAAATAAATGAATAAATATAGTCCTGTGAACAGATTTAATAGCTTGTAGCACCTTTAGCAGGAATAACTTCAAATATTCATTTTCTGTATGACTTTATCAGTCTCTCACATTGTTTTGGAGGAACTGTGTCTCTGTTTTCTTTACAAACTTGCTTCAGTTCACTGATTTTTGTGAGCATTCATTTATGCACAGTTTTCTTAAGGTTACATTTCAGGCTGAGGTCTGGACTTTGACTGTGCCACTGTAACAATTTGATTTTTTCCCTTTTTCAGCCATTCTGTGGAGATTTTCTGCTGTGCTTGGCATCATTGCCCTGCTGCATGACCCACTTTTGGCCAAGTTTTAGCTGTCGGACAGCTGGCCTCACATTGATACAAGAATACTTTAGAATAAAGAGGAGTTCATAGTTGAAGCTGACAGCTCTCTTTGAGGTTATAAAAAGATAGTTTTTTTTTTCATTTCTCTGTTTTTATCTTTAACCAAGAACTTAAAAGCTTTTGTTTTTAACAAACAAAACATTATAACTCCCTGTAGCAAATATAAAGATCAATCAACTCTAGGTTTTAAGGTATTAAAACTTTGCTCCACCTTGTCACCATCTTCACCAGGAGGACCCTGTGGACCAGCTGGACCAGGAAGACCAATAGGACCTTGAATGCCATCACGGCCAGCAGGACCCATGGGACCTTTCTCTCCCTAAAACATAATTTGCACAATATTGTAAAATCTTGATATATTGAACTTAAATAGGTATTTCACCAAGTAAAATTGAGAAAAAAACTCACAGGACCCCCTTTTTCTCCAGCAGGGCCAGGTGGTCCTTGAGGACCATTGCGTCCTGTGGGACCAATGGGACCTCCGGAGCCAGCAGGACCTCTCTCTCCAGGAGAACCCTGTAAACAAACACTCATCAGTCACTGCTGTCTTACTCAAAAATGCAATTTGCTACAGTAAAGCTAAGAAACAGTTGAGCAAAAAGCAAGTGTGTTTTGTCCAGACTTAAGCTTAAAAGGGTAAATTGATTTGAAAGTCTGCCTAGAAAGAAAATTCTGGTATTTTAAACTTCAAGGCACATTTTCATGTCTAAAGTATCAAAGAGAGCAATACTTGAAATCTGTCTCTTATTAAGCAAAAAACACAATACTTTTGACTGGATTGGCTGCATATAAGACATGTTTAGACTGTTCTCTAAAAGCAGAATGTAAGGGACTCCTTCAGAGTCAGGAATCAGAAATATTGTAAGAGGCTAATTGCTATAGAAAGACAATGGTATAAACCCGAGTGATAGTTTGAGAGAGCTGTCTAAATAAGACAGTTAGAGTTCTGTTATAGAGTTAGAGAGCAAAAAGAAATCTTACGTGTGTTATGTGAGATAGATAGATATTAAAAATGTTAAATCACAGTTCATGTTTGTGCGTGGTTGGCAATATACTGATTCCCAATATATTTTAAGGTTTTCACTTGTGTCTACTTGTGGATGGACAAATGGATGGAAACATTCCTATCTGACAACCCTGGGACTAGTAGACCACTATGACCCTTTTGACTGAA